TTTGTGACCCGCCTCTTTCAGCTTTTAAATCAGTTTGAAAACACCGGCCCGCCCCCTGCTGACCGGGAGAAGATTAAGACCCTCCCCACAGTACAGATCACAGAAGAACATGTAGGTACGTGGCCCTCTGGTGGTGGAGAGCTGGCCTGGAGTCAGAACTTCAGAGCTGGATCAGTTTAGTTAAAAAGAGGGTGAAAGTATCCGTTGTTGAAATGCATGTGGCGATTGACTTTGTGTTTCTTTCTTTGCAGGTTCTGGTCTAGAATGTCCTGTTTGTAAAGAAGATTACAGTGTAGGAGAAAACGTTAGGCAGCTCCCATGCAATCATTTGTTTCATAATGACTGTATAGTACCTTGGCTGGAACAGGTAAAACTCCTTTCTCTTCCGTCAAGCACATCGTGTCAGGTAGTGCTGCACGTGTTATTAGACTGCATTGCTACATTCATGTGTTCTCATAGCTGTGTACAAATGTTTTTCTTTTCTTTGCTGTGCATTGTAAATTAAGTGGAAGGTAATTCCTGATATGCAGTTCTTGTTGCAAAACTGCATCCCCCCCCCAACCCCAATTATTAGTGATGTTTTGGGTTATATTTGTCAATATCAGTACTGCATTACACTAACTTGTAGAAGAATTCTTCTGGGTATTTATTGAATTGCATTCAAGCTGACTGCTGTATTGGTCAGGACCTATGGCAAATCAGCAGTCTGGGTTGGGAAGGAATTTGTGAGTTGGTTTAAAATATTGATCCTAACATGTGGCGACGCACACAGTGAGGCGGAAGGTGTTCAGACTTATACCTTGGCCAACGGCCTCTCTGTGAGCAGCCGGCGTTTCCGTCTGGCTTCAAAGTGTTCGGCAAACTTGTTCTGGTCCTTTGGCGACTGTCGCACAACTCTGATCCTCAAGGGCCTTTGTAGGTCGCTGTGAAATGGTCCTGCTGCAGAAAGGCTCCAGCTGAGCTAGTGCACTCAGCGCAGTTCTGTAGGTTACAAAGCAAGAAGGAAAGATTGATTCCACCCTAATGAGAAGGCCTTCTTCGGCTGTCTGTATGTGTTTTTGTGATGTGCTGTAGGTGAGACCTCTGAGCCCCACTGCGGTAGTATTTTTCAATTCATTTCTTTGTTTTTCTATTCCCCCCCCAGCACGACACTTGCCCCGTGTGCAGGAAAAGTTTAAGCGGACAGAACACGGCCACGAATCCTCCGGGCCTATCAGGGATGAATTTCTCCTCTTCCTCCTCTTCATCGTCCTCCAGCTCGCCCAGCAACGAGAACACCACCAACAATTCGTAAGCCCAGGCGCCTCCCTCTCCCGACCAGCAGGGGGACCGGTGGCCCCGTCGCCCTTCATCGCACCCCGTCGCGTGCTCGGGGCTCCGTGTGCGGCCCGTGGCCCAGAGAGAGGAGGGATGCGGACGGCACCAAGCTTTCGTTTTTTCTTTTTTTTTACCATTTTCGTTTTTCAGCGCAAGAACAAACCATCGCCCCTGTTTTCAAACTAAACAGAGACGCAGCTGCCGGAAGAGCAAGGAAACTGAGAAAACTTGCAGGTGCTTTCGGGAAATCAGGAGACGGATCGAGTCAGATCTCCGGTCGACGCTACGAGGAGGAAAAAAAATTCCCAGGAGTACTGTGCAATCTAGGGGAGTCATTTACCTGGTCTCTGTTCTCGGAGGACAAGGAAGACACTTCTGTTTTACATAAAAATGTGTAATTTTTTTTTAAAAAGAGAATCTTCCTAAGGCTGTACAGCCAAGGGTGGCAATGGAGGAAAAATTGACATGTGTAAATAGATGCCTAATTTTTTTTAATTGCTCTGTATTCTGTGCAGCCAAGAGGGAAGCAGGAAATCTTGTGGAGGGGGAAAAAAAAAGTGCTAAATTGGAAAGTTGCGATCACACTGGGATTAAAGGTATTTTGTTTTTAAGACTCCAGCAAAACACCCCCCTCCCCCCTTCCTTGAGATTTATTCGGTCGTCTTGACAGCGTGGACGTGTTCGCCTGGGGGAGGGGGGATCCAAATGGGGGGGGGGAGAGGCGCTGGTGGGGAAGCCAGTTTTAATAATGAATTCCAGGGCCGCGCGTTGAAGCAGGCTGACTGGCGGCCCTCCCCGCGCGGCGTACGCCGAACTCGCTCGAGCGCTGTTGGTTGGTTCCCGACTTCCTCCATGGGTGTGGGGCCGCTCCTCGGGGTGAAGAGGGTTGGGAACGCGCCGCTCCGTATGGAACAGAGGGAGCGAAGAACAGCCCATCGGCTCCGGGTCTCTCCCAAGTCCAGTTCCCCCACACACACACACACACACACACACAAGAGCGAAGCCTGACTAGTCCCGCGCCTGCAGAAGACCAGTGCATCGGATTCGCAGAATCTGGCGGCAAAGGAAACACGAAGACGCTGCCTTTGTGCATTAGTGCTCTGGGGGCAGCAGCTCCTGTTAAATGGGGGAAAGGGTTCGCACTTGTGTAGCATGAGCAGCATCCAGCCACACTCCTACACTCATTTCTTCTTCTGAGTTGTCTGCTATATTCCAGGAAATCGGGTTCAGAACCTAAGTGTTTTTTTTTTCCCTTTTTTAAGTTATTCTAAGTTAAGGAATCATTTTTTTTTAAACCATAATAAAAAATAAAATGAATTATCTGGGAATCATGAATGGTTTGGAGGGAAAGGGGAGGGGAGGGGAGGGGGGGGTATAGTGAAAAAATTAGGAAGTTTTCTCGTTTAATACTCTGCGCCCTGTCAAAGACACTTCGAGCAAAATTCAGCACAGTTTGCCAGTTCTTTAGAGCTAACCCAGGCCCTAGTCTCAGTCGTATGGCTCTGGCTTTGCTCTTGATAACCAACAATTATTTTGAGTACTGTCTGATCCGAATTTTCAGTTACAAGATCATTATTAAAATACGATCCTTTATGTTACTGCTCCTATGTATCCCGTGCCTTAATGTGCAAAAAATAAGGGAATGATGTGATCAGTTAACACCTAGGGAGGGAGCCCAGGAACCGAAAAGGGAGTTTACTTTTTCCAGAAAAACAAATGTATTACTAATTAACGAGATAAATAATGTATTATTAACACGATGAGTGTCAGGACATTTGTTAAAGTGGTGGATTTAACGTTATTACATTTTTATAAGTTCTATATTCTATGCAAAGTCAGGAAAAGTTCAACCTTCCTGTTATTCATTAAGAGCTACATGCACCTACAGGAGAAACAAGACTGCTGAAGGAGCACTGATGTGATTGGAGCTATTCCTTAAGGAAGCCGACCATTGTAATCTTCATCCTGTGCTTCTGTCGACAATGCACACAGTTTATTTCTTAGTGGAAAGAAATGAACTTTTAAAGCTTACTTTTAAAAACATTATTTTCCGGTTGTAAAATATGTTGGGGATTGTTTTCATTGTACTTTAAAGATGTTGTGTTCCAGAACAAAGTTAGTTTTAAACAAGCTGTTAGGATTTGACTTTTAAGTGGATGGATGAGCATTGGACAGGACATGATTTATAATGACTGCAGTGGGGAATAGAATATAGGAACAAGTAAAGGTTTATTTGATGCTAAAGAGAGAAGAAAGAAAACACAACGTTTCCGCTGTGGAGCCTTTTTTGGGTGTAAGAAAGATAGGGCAGTCAGCAAAGATCCAGGATATCTTATCAGCAAAAATAGAATATAGTAAGTACATCATTAGATTTTCAAGAATACTGAATCTGGAATTGCACTATATGCAGAAGACACCAGATGGCGATGGTGTCCCTTAACCAGTCAATTCCCAGTGCCTCTTCCTATTTGCTTCCTGGTCAGAAGACCTAACTTAAAATATTAAAATATTACACATTTTCTTCTTCTATAATAGTCTAAAGGTTCTTTGGAGGGAGTTTATGATAGATGCCTTTAAGATCTCTTGTCGATAAGAAAGTGAATTCATTTTTAAATGTGCTCGAAAAACTTGAAATGATCAAGGCATTTCACAAAGAGAAGAAAACTAGCGAGTTCTGTTTCTGAGTCTCTCCTCGGCGCCCAGTTGATGTTTTTGCGTGCTCTTGCATGAGTGACATGGCCTGTATTAATAACTGAATTGCTTTAACAGTGTAACCTACAAAGAGGCTCAGGGTGTAATTACCTTTAAGGCTGCAGCATTATGAGGTAAACCGGAATAGAGGAAACCTGGGGCAGGCGATAGCGACACAAGAAGCAGACCCTGTCTTAAACCAACATGACCTAGAACAGCATTGTGTCGCACAGCCAAGAGCCAAAGTAATGCAGGCACAGCTTACAACTGTACACCACAAAGAATCTGCAACTGTACTATGAAGCAGTAAAATAACATAAAGTCTGCTTTGAATTTTTCATTATCGGTGGATTAAAGATCACTACACAGTACAATAGTGTTGCCTTTGGAACGGGGGAGGCAGACTGCCCTTCAGTTGGAAAGGAGCTGCATTATTCAGTGAAACAAAGATATTTGACCAAAATAGCAAATCCACCCCTCTTGACACCTCCCCTCCTCTTTCCACCCGTTCCTCGGTACCTAAAGCCTACGCCTCTTGCATTGCATTATAGGCAGAACGTAGACTTCCTTTGCAGACGTGTTAAAAGTAGAGGGGAGACGACATCCAGTCGTTACAATAGGCTCCTTTTACAAATACACACTGAGCTGATTCTCTTATCATTTCTCGAGGTGATCCGATTTCATTTCCTTTGTCTTTGTTCTTCCCTTGCACATAACATTGAATTAGTTTAATTGGTCTGGTATCCCTTTGGGCTCTTTACCACAAGGGGCAGAAACCTAAAGGGAATAATGAGGGGGCTGCAGATTTCATTCCCACTCGATCCTGTAATTTTAATTGTTCCTAACGAGTTGCTGCGGGTAAGGATGTCCTGGCTGCTCCGAACGCGCCTGAGATGAATAGCGATGTGGATTCTGGAGTTTTTTTTTATTTATTTTGCAATTAACAGTGCAAGAAGAGCTTGAATCGGGGTTGGGCGCAGACTGTGGGAAAGCAGGGGTATGCTGGAGCAGCAGCACCTCAGAACAAACCAGTCGGCTGGCCCGTAAACTACAGCTGTAACGGGAAACAAAACCTGCTGGACAGAAAGAAAGGGCTTCAGGGGACGGCCACCATAAGAGAATAGTCTCTAGGGGGTCAGTCAGTGTCTTGCCAGCACTGATACCACTGAACAGAGAGTCATGGCTAGCTGGGTTTCACCACTGCAGTACCACTGTAGGCAAGGAGTGAGCACAAATTAAGGGCGGAACGGTGGCTCTGTGGCTCAGGATCTTCGCCTGTGGCTGGCAGAGGAATCCTACTCCGCTGGGCCCCTGAGCAAGGCCCTTAACCCCAGCTGCTCCAGGGGCACCGTATAAATGGCTGACCCTGCGCTCTGACCCCCAGCTTCTCTCCCTGTCTGTGTGTCTCATGGAGAGCAAGCTGGGGTCTGTGAAAAGACGAATTCCTAATGCAAGAAATTGTATAGGGCCAATAAAGTGATCTTATCTCTTAAGAACCCCCCCCCCGTGCCCCCATTTCTGAAGGTAAAGTGCTAACCTCCACCACATTTCCTTAACTTGGACGGCGGACGGGCTCCCCGTTTTTATCAGCTAATAATGGGACCCTGTATGAGAAACTCTTAAACACTTCAATTTAACTTGTCACCTGAGCTGAAAAACTTTATTATTAAAGCTGATCCTGGCTATAAGAAATGAAAAGCACGTATCAGCTTTAATAATAGATTAAACAGATCTGCTCTGAATCTGATACAGGTCAGCAGATCCACCGTTAACAGATTCAGAGCAGATCTGTTGTTTTAGAATGCCGATTGTACTCACTACAGGATCAGATCTCGCATTTCGTTAGCTGAAATCGGCCGTTTCTCAATTTGAGAGCAGTTTGCCGTGGCTCAAAGAAACGGCAGGATCTCACGCTTCAAGACTGGAGTAGGTAAATTACTTGGGACACCATAAGAGAAGAGTCTCTAGGGGGTCAGTCAGTGTCATGCAATCGCGTGTTCGCGGAGCGAAAGTATCAGGAGTTCTTAATTTGGTCGTGATCCCGAAGCCGTCAGTCTAGTGCAAACAACGAGTTCACTCTCAAGGTCTAATATAACCAGAACAGCGATGTTGTAAAACCGTCCTGTTTCGCGTATGAATCCACCTCGTGAGATTTTAAGACGGAGAATATTCTTTCTCGTTAAACAATAGCAAGTTGGACTTTGAGTCACGTAGAACGATAATTTGGCTGTGCCGTGGTATTATCTCAGTAATGTTACTGTGCTTTGTAGTTTTATAGCTACTGAATGTAGGTGCTAAACAGGGCTCGAAAGAGGGGTTTATGAGATTTTTTTGGCGTTGAAATATATAAAACGCAATTCAGTTCATTGGAAGTTATGACATTCATATTCTACCAGTAACTTAAAAGATTATTGAAACCACAGCTGCTGCTGCTCTCGGTCACGTAACCTCAACCCCGCCCACGCCAGGGCGTGACGCGCGCACGCGACCGGAAATGGGCGGGGACGTGCGCGTGCACGGCGCGGCGCGTGACGAGGAACAAATAGAGGACGACGGAGGGGGCTCGAGCCAGTGCGAGGCAGAGGGGAGAGCCGGAGCCGTCCGTTGGTTCGAGTTGATCCAGAGGCGCTTCGACTTTTAATTTGAGCCGTGATGGTTTGTGACAAAGCCCGTACGATGGCGGTGTTTTGTACAGCGGGTGTCCTGTTGGTGTTCTTGTACGGGGCCAGTGCCATGACAGGTAAGACGCTCGTCTGTTTTTCTCCTCCCCTCGTCGGTAGACCCCTTTTTTTGTAAAACAAACAAGAATGTCATGGGTTGACCGCGGTCAACAGAAATGGGTACAATGGTCCCCCTGTTTCTTTTTTCCCCCCATACTGTAGAAATATAAATGCGATGGTCAGGTCCACCGTGAAACGTTGGTGAACACAAGCCTATAATAATCTGTTGTTGTTTTTTTGTCGGGTGAGCGTGAGGCGGCTCGGTGAACAGTGGCGGTAGCCGGTAAGAAAATGGCCGAGGTCGTGTTACAACAGCCTTCAGGTCCAGATGACCCTCAGGCTCGAAAAGACTCTTTAATATCGACGTTTTTGAAAGCGTGCCTTTCCATAGAGGCGCGACGGAGGCACGTATGTCTGTTTTTTTTTTAAGATGGGGGGGGGGGGTTTGACTTGTTTTGTTTTCTTTCATGAGCTACGTTCTTTTGCGATGTTTACAGGTCATTTGTGTTTTTAATGGTGTGTTTTTTAAACACGGCGTATAAACGTTATTCCCATGTAGGGATACGGTGATACGAGTAGGTGGGTAATTTGGCGTGTGGTGAACAATCTCTACGTATACGTCGGACATGTAATCGCTACGTATAGACACGTGAGATTTTAAAGCATGTTTCATTTTTTTTTTCGTTTTTAGTGTCCCTAAATGGTCAAACGTACCCCGATAGTCATTCGGGGTCGGTTCAAACTTTAGTTTAAGCAAATGTGTTTTACTTATGGCCTGTTACTGCGTAATGAGGGCGACATTGGGTGGTGCTCTTGGGAGGCAACGTGTTTTCGTAAGATAACGCAGGAGCGACCTTAATATAATTATTATTATTAGTATTAACGTATAAAATTCGTTTTGCAGTCAATATGGAAGCTAGATCGTAAAAAGTTTTAGAAAAGGTAGCTGTAATAATGTTCCTGTGTTAGTCGGAGAGGCCGTTGTAGAATTGTTAACACCACATGCTGCTTAATCCGCCGGATAAACCCAGTTTACCTCCCGTGCCTTCAGGAATTAGAAAAAAACGGTAAAACTTCTCACGAAACTTCCCGATGGGGTTTAAATCAGAACGACCTGTTTTTGGAATGTGTGGCGGCTTCATGTCGCTAATTTGATCGATCTTAAGAAGGAGCGTTTCAAACAGGCAAGGCCGATCTGTCGGGTTTATCGCCGCATCGATCACCGTCTTCCGATGTAGGGCTTTAGGAGCCCCGTTTCAGCATAACAATGGATTAGGCGGTGTTCAGTACGCCTGCGATATGTTCGTTTAAATTTAGCACCGTTAAAGGGCGAGAAAAGAGCCATTTAAGGAAAGAGCAGGTTTAGCTATTTGTAGGTGCCTCACCTGAAATATGCTATTGAGTTTCAGGATGTATTTTTTGCATCCAGGAGAGGAGACAACTAAAATGCTTTGCTTCCGTGCTTGATATTCACATTAAGCATTTACAACTGCGGTCTACCGTTTTCCTTTCCTGTTGCTTGGAGAGATGTGAAGGAGCGCTGATGCAGTCTGACGTTGAGCCGGAGCCAGGTGATGTCAACTGAAAATCCCTTGTTCTTAGGCAGCTGGAAGCACTGTCTTGGCCTCCAGGATGGTGGAGAGGCATGTGATTAGTTAAATCTCATTATCTGCTATTATTCCAACACTTGTGATGCCGAAGGTCCGTGACTGAAAGGGCCGTACTGAGTTTGTAAGCAGGAAGCCACAAGCTGTGTCAGTAACTGGTCACGAGGGGAATTTAATTTTAACTGGGTAAAAACTAATTGAGGCCCACTCATAGGGGTTTGACTACTGTAGAGTTGTGTAACATAGTCAAGGATACAAAAGTAATTTGGGCCACTATAGTCTGTTAAGGAGGTAGAGGCTTGGTACATATCTTTCAGTTTATACCCATACGTCTCTGGTGTACTGTGCATAGCAAGGCCTGATGGGTCTGAGAACCTATCTGTTCTTGAATGAAGCCATGCCCAGCTATTGTTCACCAGCAGTGTGGCTGCATCTTTTTCCATACTAAAGCAGTCATTGCAAGATGACAGGGTGCTCGGTATTGTGTTAAGGAGGCGTCATGAATATGACCAAGAAAGCCGTCACAGTTAAATTGAACAGGGACAGTTATACATTCACAAACCGTGTTTTCGGAAAGTTGTGGGAATGTAAATTATTTAAATGGTGTTTTGAAATTGTGGCTTGCACTGTCCACATCAGGTTCTGTTTGTGTAGAGCAAGCAATGAAAAATTGTTCAGTTAAAAGGGTAAGGAGTGAGACCTTGTGTTGAATTTACCAGTTTTTGCAGTGGGTTTTATTCACGTTATGCCTAAAGCATTATATAAGAGAAGATTTCTTGGCATACGGTTTATGTAAAATGTATAATATTCTTCTTGGGAATTGTTTTCTAGAACAGTGGAGTTACTGTGCTGTTACTAGGTAAATCGTTTTCTGCTCGTTATGCAATGACAAGTGCTTTTGGTTGCTGTCTGCCAATAATACCGAGGGATACAACAGTCCCAGAGCTGAACTTTTCCTATAATGGCAGTGTCAGTTCATAAGTAAAATTAGCTTTCACTGTAGCACTGTGTGGCTGTAGTCTAACTGGGATTTTAAAGATGGGGTTATTAGTCTCTTGTGTCCTCCCATTTATGAAATGCTATGGAAGTGTTACTTTTTATTGCATTTCTTTTCACCAAAAAAACAGATTGCAATGGGCACAATAATACATTCAAGCTCCCATATTGTATTTTTATACTATAGCATTTATATAGTATGTTACTGGTGTAAAGAAAAACAATTGGCTCTTCATCACTTGTGGGGCTCCTTTTTAAATGTTAAGTGACTGTGGTGAGATGTGCAAAGTGAATGGGAACTGAGATTTGATTTTGAAAAGGGGGTTCCTGAGGGTGAGATTGGTAATTTGCTTAATGCGAACTGGGCAGGTTTTCGGTTAAACTATTTTAACTGAAGGAGTGTTGTATGGAAAAGAAAAGGTGAGAATGGCTAAAGTTCAGCCAACAAGTAAAGGGGGCATTGAGATGAAAATTTAAGTTGCTTTGCTTAGCATGGAACTTGGTAATTGTCGAAAGCCCTATGATGTGATTGAGGTCTGAACTAATATTTTTGAACACAAATGGTGATTCCTGTCCTTTGGTAGGGATACCGTTTCAGTGGTGAGTTGCAGCAGTAACAGTTGAAATTTTAAGCTAGTATCAAAGCATGGTACTTGCAATAGATTAATGTAATCAAAACAGCCCTGTTGCACTGCTCTGGGTCCACTTTGTGTCAGAAAGACTCCAGACACTAACATAGGAAATGATGTATAAAAAAAGCTGTTTAGGCGCCGCTATAGGTTTTGATCCCCTGTTCAGGAAGCAACATAAATCCTGTGATTCATAGATGTCTTTGTTGCAGTAAACCTTTTTAAATGAAAGTTTTAATATTGGCCAGGGTAATATTTTGGCAAGCACAAATAACAGAAGTCAGAACAATGTCTGCTGGTTCATACTGTTTTTGTTGCAGATTACTTCCTCCTCTATCCTAGTACAATATCCACCTGATTTCACTTAAGTTCTTCCTGGTAAAATAAATTAAAAAGTCCTTTGTGTATTATATGGAAGAATCTTTTGGTTGCACTTGATTTCGTGGAGGCATTTGGCAGTGGTAAGAGTATTTTATAAATCGTCAATAGTATTGAACTACTTCTATTGAATTTGCCAAACAAAAAAAACTTTCCCATTTAATTTTATTACATTTTTGCCTTTGCCAGTATTCATTGTATCAGACAATAAAGGAACATGCTACATATTCACTTCATTTCCCTGAAGTGAACACTTCTGTAGTAAAGGTTTATTTGTGTATAGCTAAAATCTCTTTCAGCGTACCTGTGTATTTAGTTTTGAATTCTGGCCTAGTTGGGCCTAGATTCTTTGGGGGCAAAGTAGCCTTTTCTGCATCTGACTGCTTAATAGGTTGCTTCAGCATTAAACTGCATTAACTTTGCATTAATTTTGAATGTGTTGCTATTTGACAAGCAATGACCTACTGGCCCCATCCAAAAGTTTAAATCGGGCACAAGGTCCTTGTTTTTCAAATGTAATGTAAGTAAACAGTTGCCCTTCATTGGAATTTGCCCTTACTGTGATGGAGTCCATAGACCTTGTGTAGTTTATTAACTTTGAAACCCATTTTGAGAATTGCTCATTTCTATATACTTACTCCTTCGACAAACATTAACATGCTGGAATATTTTCTTGTTTTTTCATGATTTTTAGTAAGTTTTTTTTAATTTGATTCTATTGGGTAGGGACAGTTTGCTTGGTTAATTTTCAGCAGCTGCGTTTCCTAGTTACTGATACAAAATATAGCACTCTTTGAACTTAATGTTCATGTTATACAATCCATAGAATCTGAAGTTAACTTACCCTGTGTTTTGCTGAACTAATCAGGTTGTTTGCAGCTATCTTTGTATAGTGTTTTTATGGGCAAAATATATTTTAGATCTTGGTGATCAAAGCATCATTTTTGTGTAGATGGGGAAAATGTATTTCTTGACCAGATCATGTATGTTAATATGGACAGGGTTTGTTTAGTAGGCAGTGCATATATTTCCCTTTGGAGACTGTACTGGCATGAAGGTGACCTTTCAGTTCAGCAAAACAAATGCAGTGCCTTCTAATTAAAGGTCACATGGTATTTACAGCTTGAGGCATTGCAGTTGTTGAGTATGTAAGGATTTTCCTTTTGAATAGATTGCCATGGCAAAAGATTTTTTCTTTATAGCTGCCAGGCTAATTCACAGCTTTAGTGCTGGCTTTTTTGCATTTTTGTCTCCCGGGGTTGACGGTTGTAGTTTTCGGAGTCCTGCCGGTTTTAGACTTGCTTGTGTTCATGAGAAATATTTTAAGGCTTTAAAGTGGATAGGCAGAGCTCAGAGTTTGAATGAACCTGCAAGACTTCTGCCCTTCAGCACTTATGGAGATTGTAGGTATGTTTACTTCAGTTTCCCCATGGTGATGGAATATTAGGTGCACAGCTTTGTTGAAAATCTAGATGCATTTGTTTTGAGTTTTGAAAAGCTTTTTTTTTTTTGGAAGGCACATTTCTGCTGTACTGCTCTTCTAGTTTCATGGAAACTACAGCCTATGCATTTGTAACAGCTTTTGGGTTATAGTTATTTGAAAGGGAAAATATACCAAGTAGTTCACACACCAATGAAAGCAAAACGTGTGTATAGAATTTGCCTTTGTGTTGAAAAGGTGACTGTTCAATTTAGAAGTGTTTCAGATTCATGTTCTCCTGTAATCCACTTTTACAGCAGCTTCAGCTTTTTTGGAACACCTGCAGGATATTTGCCCATCTGTCTTGGGGGGTGATCTGCCAGTTTATGAATTCTCACTTTATTTAAATAAATCTTAGAGCTTAGGATATTTTTAATTACTGGTGTCAAAAGCTTGCTGACGTGTCCTTGAATGAAATTGCAAGCTTTGGTAGACATATTTTGAATGATCTGTCATTCTGACACCCACTACTCTTTTTGTTCTTTTGAGTTCAGTGTGTTTTCAGAACATCTTTTGTATTAAGTTGATTTGTTTTAATTCTTTGTTTCATTATTCTGCTTTCTGTTACCTGGCGTTGGATTTGAGCATCATACTGAGGATGAGAATGAATTTGAAATAGCTCTTCGGTCAGCATCAAAGCTTGCATTCCATGATGCAGACTGTCGTGTTAAATTGGTATTTGATGGAAGGGTTTTCCTTTTAATGAACTTGATTGCTAGCTTTACAAACACAAAGGGAAATGATCATACAATTTGTATCATCATAACAGCCACTATGCAGATGCTAAGGTTAATAAGCATGTGGCATGCTCTTTGCATTTGCTAAACCTCAGATGGTACTGCAAATCCAAGGCCTTTTCTGTTTTATGCTTTTTTTCCCCCCATTTAACTTTATTCTAAACTCTAATCTGTTCTCTTTCTTTTTGCCTGCTTTGTTTTAATTAACCACAAAACTCACTCCTCAAAAACCCCAAATGTTCTGAATAAAATGCACCGACTCGCCTGTTGGCCTCAGCGGGGTTCATCAAGTCCCCCCTGTCCCAAATGAAACTGACTGAAGACAGTGCTGAGCTGCACTGCGAGGTCACTGGCAGCCCCATCCCCGAGGTTCAGTGGTGGTTTGTGGAGGGCGAGGAGCCCAACGAGACTTTCACGCAGCTCTTTGATGGGGCGCGCCAGGAGCGGGTCAGGATCAACGCGACCTACATCCTCCACGCCACCAGTGCCGTTTACCTCGCCAACCTCACGCTGGGGGACTCGGGTACTTACGAGTGCCGAGCTTCCAATGACCCCGACCGCAACGACCTGAGGAAGACCCCCCGAATCAAGTGGATCCGCTCGCAGGCTAACGTTCTCGTGTTTGAACGTGAGTGGTGGTGGGGGGCCACCAGAGAAATCTGGCGGCGGCGAGCAACTTGCTCCCCTCCTACAACCTCCTGCTCTACCTGCCCCCCCCCCTCCATGTCATACCCCTAGATTACAGCTCAGTAGAGTAATGCCAGTGCTCAACGCTTTATAGCAGGAATTGTCTGTAGATGTACTGTAGTATTCTAAACGAGGAAACGATACGTGTAAACTTTAATGAAAACTGCTGTCCCTTGGTCTTTGGTCCCATGATGTTACAAAGATCTTTCTCAGTTTTCCGTCTGTGGGCAGTTCCTGTTATTCAAACACCCGTCGTGCAGAAAGCTTTACCCTGGGTGTGAGCCTTCCAAATCCCATTCCCAGTAATGTCCCAGTAAAGCATCAGCCCTCTAGCTGTCTTCCGAATGAATATGGCAGGACAGCGTTGTGCCTTATAATACTGGACAGAAGGTGTGTGCTACACAAATAGCCGCATCGGTTTTAGAATTAAGGGGATTACACTTAGAGCAGTCAGACGTTGGCTAACGTTTCACTTTTCTCAAGCGCTGCCAGCAGTTGGACTATTCTCGTTGTTGCGCATGAGCCTTTTCGGAACAAAAATGGGGTTTAAGGTAATCATTACCCCGGCAGTTATGGTTGCTAACAGTCTTAATAGATTCCTGGATCTGTAAACAGTTGACAATTTCCAAAAATCTTTCATTTTTGGTTCAGTATTATAATGCAGCTGAGTTCAGTGTGTATGTTTTCTGAACCGATGTTGATTTTTGTGTGTAACTTCTCCAATTTGAGTATCTCCCTACCTATCTCTTTCCTTAAGCATTGCCTAATCACCGTCCTTTGCCTTTAGTAAATTTAGTAAAAGCAGCATTTCTGGTTAGCAATTTCGTATGGTAGCTGGGCTCGAAATTGTACAAGAATGTCTTTTGAGTTGATGCGGTATATTAAGGATTTATAAATATCCCTGACGTAACCTTCGAATGGGTTGGCATCTTCATGTAGACAACCCATCTTTTCTGGAAGTTTGGATTCTAATAAATATGGCTGTTTACAGGGTATATTCTCAGTGTGTTAACCACCATGGTGTTTTAGTTTCATCTTAGGTTTTTGTGGAATTTCGAGACCTTTAAGTTTTCCCTTCAGTTGCCCTCAACCATGTTATATTTTTCCATTTAGAATCTGTTTTGTGGTGTGATGTGACTGCTGTAGTTTTTAATGTTTTGTGTTTTTATCCACACGCCTTGGTGTGCTTTAAGCTTTGGAGACAACGCTTGCAGAAAAGATTTAAAGCTTTAGTTGTCCAGTCCAAAGGTGAAATCCTTTTCCTCATGTAGGCTTTAGTATTTAGTGTTTTGAAAATCAGTTTACGCAAGTGTTTATGCAGAGTTTAACTCACCCTTATGAAGCGTATCTGTAACAGTGTTCGAGCGATGTTGGCAGAAACATTTCAGATTTTTCTAAAATAGGTTTTAAACAGCTTAAAGGTGATTCTACATTTATCAAATCAATTTTAAACTTAAGGTAAGTCTAAAGGGCCTATTATTGTTAATTGAGTAATTTTATGCTATGTACCTGGTATATGTATATGTGCACTTGCACAGTTTTCTAACATCTTTCTCTTGGATGCATACAGCTCCTCCGATAAACACCTCTTCTGTGGCACTTGGCGATAACACAACCCTTCTATCCTGCAACTTAACGAGCCCACCATCTCCAGTTAAAGGTCATTACTGGGCGAAAAATGGGAAGAAGCTGAAAGATACAGAGGACGGGAGCACAGACCAAAGCATGACGCACGTGTAAGGCACTTCATAAGCTTATATTTGGGAAATTAAATATGACTAGTAGAATGCAATTGTGCTAGAATGCATTTTGGTCTTTTCCCTATGCTGTTTATGGGGGGGGGGACATCTTTCATTCAAGGGGTCTTGCAGGAGAACTGGTGTCCAAGGGCTCTTTTAGCAGGGTTTTTTCTCTCCATATTTATGCTGCCTGTTATAATGGTGGCGCTTGCTCTGGCAGAGGCCCAGGCACTTGGAAAGAAATGACACGCTGAGCCGGATAGGGCAGACGTGCGTTTCTCCCCATAGCGGCATTCCGCAAGCTCAGTAGTCGCTAGAATGAGGATTAGTGCTCTTGTAATGCAGCTTCTGTGCTGACCCCAATTCCTCGTGAGGTTGGAAGGCTTGCACTTTGTAGATAACAAGCACTTTATTGTTCTGTTTGGAAAGTCCTGTGAAGGTGTTTTTCTTCAGCTTAGTATTTCCCTTAGCAGGATGTCTTTTTAGCTGTCTGTTTGTGAAACATGAAGGGTGTTGTAGCATAGTTCGTCTGGAGTTTGGGTTTGAAGGACTTCAAAAAGGGGTCTTTGGTTTCCTGAATGGGGTTTTGTTTTTCAAACACTTTCTGCTTTTGGCTTTCTCTCTAGGGTGAAGACTTCTGAAAGTGATGCTGGAGGCATATATACTTGTGTGTTTCTCACTACTCCTGAAGCCAATGGCACTATTGAAGTAAAAAGTAAGTATGGGATATGCTTTTTTGAGTACTTGAGTGAAAAGATCAAGGCTTATACTTTGAAGGCACCTTATTGTAGCTTTGCTTAAGTTTTGGCAAAAACTATAGGAAACCTCGCTTGTTAAACTGGATACACTTTTAGTCCATTGTTGTATGCAGTGCTTTCTATATGGTCTTGGTGAAACTGCATGTTTGTCTTTCTCAACAGCTAAGCCTCAGGCTAAAGCTTACAAACATTCTGAACATGGAAATGAAAGGGACAAAGGAGCTCTCACTTGTGTTGGCCATGGATATCCCCTGCCAACAACCTGGTCATGGTACATGATGCAAGATGATGAGAAAAAGGTATGTCCCTTTCTCAGGCTTAGTACAGTACCGTATCTTGGTTTACTTGTAATTCATTTGGTTTCTGAAAGTTTCTATCAATGTGTAGCGTTGCTAATCCGTGTAGATGTTTATTTAAAAATTCACGTATTTTCTCTTGGTAATGACATTTTTTTATATGCATATAAAGCACAACGTGGGGCCAACTCTGCATTCAAGATCATCTCTTTTCAGTAACCTGAATCTGATCAGTAATAGTACAAATTAATCAATAATTGATGCAAATCGTTCCCTCAGCAGAAAAGTTAACTTTCTGCTTTTGAAAGTTAGACCATTTTCCAGTGTTCCAAAATTAGACCAGGTTTTGAAGCCTTAAAAGTGTTAATGAATAAACCACACTTTTGCACAATCTGTTACATTCAATAAATAGTACTTGTGTATCAAAGTGTGCAGAAATATGATGTTGAAGTTTGTACCCTGCGGAGGTTGTTCTGATTTCTTTGCAATTTGACCAGGGGTGCCCAAACTGTAGCTGGATTCGAGGGGGTTGTGGGTTAGGGCTACTCTGATGGGTTTATGGGTTACATGTTGGGACACTGCCGCAGTGGCACAGTAAGGTGAGTTTTGATGTGTTAGAAAAGAGGCTATCAGGTCCTTGTATATTCTTGGCTACCTGGTTATCACCGACTAAAACTTGATTTCCTTTGCCTGAAGGCTATTGTTAACGGGACTTCTGACAAGTATGAAGTTAAGAGCACGCCCGAGAAGACAACGCTGTATATTGATAACCTGGACATGGAGTTGGACATGGGCAACTACATCTGCTACGCGGAGAATGAGATTGGCAATTCCACTGACAAGATCTTCTTGCGCGTGCGCAGCCGGCTAGCTGCCCTGTGGCCCTTCCTGGGCATCGTTGCAGAAGTGATCATCCTCGTCACCATTATCTTCATCTACGAGAAGAGGAGAAAGCCCGATGAGATCGTTGACGGTACGAGTGCTGCTTCCTTTGTGTTTTGGGATTAGGCAAGATGCTTTTAACAGCGAGGAGAGCATCTTTAGTAGGTGCTCCAGTCTTTTTGTCTTCTGTGCCAGTTATTGAGTTAATTTTCCACATTCTTGTTCCATTCATATACACATTGAAATGTTTCTAGACCTCAGCCTTTAAGGCGTGTACCCTCTAGTGGTGGAAGAGCGATTCTTCTTAGCTTTTAACAATTTCACCATGTCCACCTTTTCTCTTCCTTGGTTCCCAGCTTTGAGTGAGTTAATTTTTTTGCAATTTTGAGTGGTAGCTCCTTAGGGGTTTTTTAACACTTGCTGTTAAATGAAATGCATGTTTCTTCTAACCACTAAAGGTGGTTGAAGAATTGCCTTTTTTAAAGAATTGTAGGAAGGGATATTTTTCTGGTATTTAACATTTCAAGTTATATTTCCTAGATAAATCTTCAATTAAAACTATTTCATCTTTTATTTATACATGTAGCAGATGTAAGCTGTTTTGATTACAAAATGTACATTTTTTTCTCTAGGTTTTTAAATTTTAAATTAGAAGTTTCATTTTTCTCTTTGGTTTGTTTTCCATGGGTACTGTTTTTATTATTTTGTTTTTATTTCTTTGTTTGCTGCTGCTTTTATTACATGTTGGTAAGTGAACAATACTGCATGTCAGACTGAAGTGGTTTCTCCCTGAGATGATCAGAAAACATTGAGTGTTTCTGTAATTAATGCATTGCTTCTGTTAAGTAACCATTAATATAAATTCAGGAGACTGCCAATGAAGATCTCTTTCACTGGTTAAATTGAGGTTATGGGGTGCGATTAAATAACTTGTTTTCAATGTTCATATGGAAACAGCTTTTTTTTAATTGGAGATTTGATATTGCCAGTGAAAGGGTCAGTTTTAGTCTGACATGGCACTGAAGACCTACTTCTCCTTCATTTCTATGCTGCCCATTTGGGGCACAGAAAGTGGTGCTGCATTGTTTGAGAATCTAGCCTATTTTGCATGTGAAGCTGCATCAGAAAATAACTCATGCATGGAACTGCATCATTAAAATACTGTGGATTAACTGGGTTGTCATCTGGTTGCCTTTGTAGAGGGGGGTACATTTTATGAGTCTTGTCCTTGTGTGTAGCCTTACACTAAGGATCAGTGCCTGTATGCATTCCTCACAGTTTAGTCCTGTTGGTTGTTTTTGTTTAGTATGTTCCAGGAAATGTATAACATTAAAGTATTGTGCATGGTTTTAGTTAGTCTGGTTAAAGAGGTTTTCAATAAGAGGTCTCATTTAATGCAGTTTATCAATTTTTATTGCTTTTAAATGTATACACTACATTATGCAGTTCCACTTTGGTATGTAAAGGATTGAAATATGACTTCCTTTAACAGGGAGGGTTTGTCAATTATGTTTTGGGTTTTATTTTTGCGTTGCATCTAGAAAGGATTTCATACATTTCAATATAGAGCAGAAGGATGGAAGTCAATGGTTCATATAGGAGAGCAGTTTTTATCAGGGTTTTATTTGTAAATTAAAGCAAGCATACCTCAGCCTGTCTGCTACTAGGGTTTTGTAGCATTTGTCCAGTCTTTTACTGTAATGTTCTTTATGATGCTAAGGTTCTAATTTTCCCTTGTTTTACATTTTTATGTCCTGTTACCAGATGACGACTCAGGATCTGCCCCCCTGTAAGTACATCTTTAAATGTAACTTGACCACTTGTGATTTACAATTACAAGTAGACCTCAAGCTTCTTAAAATGTCAGGAATAAATGTTGGTCAGTATGCTTGTATGTCCTTTGGAGCTTTTATATTCAGTGAGTTTGTTTTGAAGGGATTTCGAGTATTGCATATGACTTTTGTAACTTTCATTACTTGGTGGAGAAATCTGATTGAACTACAATTCTATTGCAGGAAGAGCAATGCTGCTGCTAATCACAAGGATAAGAATGTCAGGCAGAGAAACTCCAATTAAAAGGACATGGAGGTGAGTATTTCTCTTTATATTGCTTCATACATATCCTGACTGCAGCATTTGGGCTGTTGAGCCAAAGAAGTCTGTCATTTAGATGGGTGGTGTCTGAAATGGCTTTTCATTGTATGCAATGCACATTGGCCCAAGTGCTAACAGATTCCCTGGTGGGAGTAGGGGGCTGCCTCCAGTCACCTATTGTTGTCATTATCTCTGGGAACAGTATGCAGACACATACTTAGTTTATAGGCTCTTTCTAATCATTGAAATTCAAACTAGGAGTAGTTTTAATGAATTACCGATCCAACTGTAAATCTAGGTTATCAGCTGTATTGTTCTGTCTGCTGAGAAAACTCTGGCCTAATGTTTTTGTTTCTTTCCCCCAATAGGTATCCTCATGACTACTATCTTGATTTTTAAATGGAGCAGTGAGTTTCTTGAGTACACAACGTTAGTGCACCTCGCAATTTTCTACAAGTAATCTGTAAAGGGGTAGTTTTTTTATTTTTGTGAGTTTCACAATGTCCAGAGAAACTGATTTCTTAAGTGCTTTTTTTTCTTCTGTTAGTCACTTTCCATTGTGCTGGCAGGGAAGGTGTCAATTGAGTCTGTGTGTGGAAAAACTGCATGATTATTTTTTAGGTTTTTTTTTGGGGGGGAACAGTGTTGGTAGTGAAACCTTTGTAATGTTTTGTGAAAATAAGCAGTAGTGGCTTTTGTCAAATGCACAACTCCGTTCCTCAAAGGGTTCATGCAGTCATGGAGGTTTTGAAGGTTTTTCCAGCTCAGGACCCAAGAGAAGGGTCATGCCAACCCAGCTGAGGAAATTGGAGCTGTTATTTAAGTGGCTAAGAACAGATGAGTGAGGGGGGACCAACATTTGGCCTTTGTGGAGCTGAGTTGTGTAACTTTTCTAAATGAGACTGTATAGAACTGACAGATCCATGGAAAACCCATTCTGGTTTTAAAAGGTGCATGTTTTATGAATTGGTTTTCCATTTTTTATATAAATAAAATTGTCAGCTTAATTGGCAAAATCCTAATAAAATAATACTGATTTTCCTTGCTTCAGTTGCTTGTTGGAACTTTCTAAATTAGACTAGGGTGAATGCTGCTTTGTAATTTATGGTAAACATGCATTTTTTTCTTTTGCAAAGGTTTAAGAAGTTAGCAGATGTAACTATTCATCGTGTAATGGTAACTTATTTTCACATTTCAACATAGCCCTGTGAAGGAGGTGGACCATGCCACGAAGTGTAACTGACATTTTCTTTAAAACTTGGATATTGGGATATGTTTCTAGTAAGATTTGTCTATTCACAATTTTAAAGTCTTTAAAAGTGTTGCACAGCTTGTAAGTGGTAATGTTTGGTCAATCAGGCCAGGTGAATTGTCCTGTCGGATTCACCTGTTTTCATCCCATTTTATTGATGAACCTGGTATGAACCTTGCATTGACTTAATTAGTATTGTAACTAGGGTTGTAATGCTGTTTTGATCTACATTGAACCATATATTGAATCTAAAGAAGTTCAGACACCAATACTTATTCTTTCAAATGTATTGTCAGAGCCTGCACAAGATGATAGCTAAGTTGTTTCTGTAAAAACTTGCACAAAATAAAATTGTTTTAATTTTAACAAGTGTGGTCTGTCATCAGTGGCATAACATGCAACTCTTACTATACAGCAAATTGTGACTAAATCAACAGTAAAAAGACATGACTAGTTACTGACCTACTTGCGTTTCTGGTACTGTTTTAACATTCATACAGGAGTTATTTTAATGGTACAAGTGGATGCAAGTCCTGTAAATGCTGGGGAACTGGCTACTTGTTTATTTCATTTCTGATTGGGCTAGCATTCATAATGACCAAAATAAAGCAAGTGATTTGTTGGGTATGAACGCTTCACCTGGATGTGGTTGTGTGGTATGGGTTTAGTATTCTTGATCTCTCCTAATCAAGATCGCTGCATTGGCAGCGATATCCTGCAGTCTGAGGTTAACCACATTGGTTAACCACATTGTGCAGGTTCTCAGTGTGGTGATTGTAATTCACATTCTCAGAGGTTCAGCAGCAATCCCTGCAAACAGATGTAAGTATAAATTGTGGCACATTCTTAGGATCACTGTCTTGATTTGGTGTTGATTTAAGTGTCTTCAGGTCTGCTTATGTGCAAAGATATGTTTCCAGTAGTATCTTGCTAGAGGACAAATAGTTGCAAGGATACATTAAGATAACATTTTATTGGCCATATACAATTTATTTGGAATTTCTTTTCGCAGACCCCAGCTTGTTCTCTGAGACACACAGACAGGGAGAGAAGCTGGGGGTCAGAGTGCAGGGTCAGCCATTTATACAGCACCCCTGGAGCAGTTGGGGTGAAGGGCCTTGCTCAGGGGCCCTGCGGAGTAGAATTCCTCTGCCTTTTAAGGGTACTTAAAGTTATGTAATAATAATTGCTTACACTTATATAGCGCTTTTCTGGACACTCCACTCAAAGTGCTTTACAGGTAATGGGGACTCCCCTCCACCACCACCAATGTAGTGTTTCTCCTGGCCATTAGAGGTCTCCATTTACAGTAAAAGCATATTAATTCAGTTATTTTAAATCCAATGTGTTTTTGCAGACTTTAGATCCAGATTTTGTTTAAAGAATTATGGTTTTCATTACTGTTTATCATGGTGTATAAGACCAATGCATGTTATAAGGACTAATTCAAGTCAGTCATCATACAAGGTTAGTATGCAAGTGGTTTTTAAAGAAACCTTTGCACTCAAGTATTTTCAGCAGGTGAAGATTTACTGACTGTTTTGGCTCAGATTCTCCTGGTTTATTCCTACAGGCTGGACAAGACTGTCCAGGTTCATTGGTGTCTAAATCGCCCTCCTTATTTGCACAATCCCAGCAATGGACTTGCATCCCACCTAATGAATTGTTTGCAGTGAGAGACTCCTGCTTGTCAGTATCTGTAATGTTTTTTTTTTACAGTAGGTAGATGCAAATACAAACTGAAATAAAGATCAGCGTGGTGGATACATTTATATTGCATTTCTCATTCTTATTAAAGTGATGAAGCAGTGGAGCTGAAGAAATGTCAGCTTTTGGCTCCTTTAAAACCTGTCTGCCTTACCTGTGGTACAGTACGATTCTGGAGCCTTTCACTTGTCTGGTTTCCAGTGTGCAGCTGCTCCAGGGGTGAGTATTACTGCCTCACACTGCTGGACCTGGAGAGCTATCTGCATGGAGTGGATATATTCTCACTGTGTTTGTGTGGGTTTCCTCTGGGTGCTCTGTTTTCTTCTCACAGTCCAGACATGCTGGTAGTTTAATTGGCTTCTGGGGAAAACTAACTCTGGTGTGAGTGTGTCTGTCTGTCTTATGATGGGCTGGCATCCTGTCCAGTGTGCACCCCACTTTACCCCCCTTGCTTGGTGGTAAAGAATCTGGTGCCCCCTTAATCCTGAATTGGGTGAAGTGGTTAGAAAGGTGATGTAACTGCTCCAGAGCTGAAACCCCACTTTGTATCTGGATCAGTGCCACTGTCCCCCATCCTTGCTATTAATCATTGAAGCGCTCCTGCTTATTGACTGCAGCCTCGTTCAGCTGCTGTGCATTAGGATTCCTGGGAAGGCTAAAAGAAGCACCTGAGCCCGGGTTATGCATGCGCTAAATTAATAATGGAGGATATGTGGAGCCGATGTCAGCACTGAATGGTTAGTCGTCTTCGCAGAGGGGCCCGTGAGTGTGGTGGAGGTTGGGATCTCGGTTCAGTGATTCCTGGAGATGAGCGGGTATTGTCAATTGTGTAAGAGCTATTGACTAAAGGTATGGACTCACTGCTTAAGTGTGGTAGTTATTGAATGCAAACTACCAGAGCATTCTTATTTGTGTAGCAGGGGGGCTAAGTCAGGGGTGGCTGACAATGTAGGCAAAGTTAACATTGTGTGTAAATAAGGAAAATTGCTGTCTTTTAACTGCTGTGCTCTTGACAAGGCAGAAACTAAACAATAGCTTCTGATCTTTGGTTATTGTTCTGTGATCAGGGGTCTGAGGGAGTGGAGTTCAACAATTGTTTCACCAGTTAATGGCTGTTGGCTCAATGAAAGAGGAGCCCTGACTAAGGAGTCTGCTACATGTCCCACTGGAAGCAATTTAATTTTGTGGGGGGGGGAAAGGGAGTGAGGAAAGGGAATTCTTAAAGTTGTTTTGCTCACGGTAAGATGGGGAGTCCAGCTACTGCCTCCTGTTAGGGCACCAGGGCACTGAAGTCTGGAATCGAACCCAGAATCACAGACCTGTGCTAACCACCCCAGCACTGCCCAATCCAGAACTACACTGAAAACATTACCAGCAGACTTAATTGAATGGGCTAATGTATTTTAGCGGTAAGTATTATTTAAGCCTCATTTTAAGAACAGGTAGTTTCCAAAGGATCTCGGCATGCTTTGGAAGATTATTTGAAGATTAACAAATTAATATTCCCTTACATTAAACAGTGCTGTTCTGTCATTCTGCTCTGCAATGACCTATATTCTTTGATATAAGTGTTTTAATCTGAGCACATGGATGTATTTTGCTGCAGGCTCTAGTGCATTGAAGAAAAGCGTTTTACTAGGCCTGGAAAGAAAGACGTTGAACAAAGCCAACTGAATAGAAAGCAGTTCAACAGCAAACCTTAACTTCATTATCCCAGCTGGGAAATTGGCTTTGCAGGCAGGTGAAAGGCAAGATACCACACACGATGCATTTAAGGAAGCCCAAAGCCATTAACACAGGAATTGCTAACCCTGGTCCTGGTGACCCGTGTGTGCTGGTTTTCATTCAGCCCACCTTCATCCGATAACTGAAGCCTTGCTTGACCTGAGAAATTGCTTCGATTGAATATTTGCTTTATGTTTCAAGTCACAAGTTTGGGTTTTTATTTCATTGACAAAACAGTTGAAGCTCCAGCATGTTTAAAGATCTGGGTACAAGCCATCCGAATGAATCTTATTAAGCTGATGAAGGGTTTAATTGTGTAATTGAGTGCCCAGCTATAAGAAAAACTAGCAGGCGTATGTGGGTCACTAGGATCAGAATCGGGAAGCACTGCATCAACATGCATTCCATGAGAAAGACAAGCTAGCAGAAGCTTAATCTTCACAATCTGTTCTCCTCCCCATTGATACTGTAGGTGTGTGGTAAGTATACTGGTGCACTCTGGCTGCTGTCGCATCATCCAGGAGGGGGCTACACACTGGTTGTAGTGGAGGGGAGTCCCCATTACTTGTAAAGCACTTTGACTGGAGTGTCCAGAACAGTGCTATATGTGTGAGTAATTATAAATGGAAGGGAGCTTAGATTCACTTTGTTTAGAGATGTAATAAGTACATCCCAAGCACTTTGTAAAAATTATTTGGCTGCTGGAGGGCCCCATATCTAGCTGTGCTCAGCTGCGTGGCTGTGACCTATCTCTTTAAATGATCTCAACCTCAGTAGTAAACTTGGAGATCTCCCAAAATTCACAGACAATGCACTCTTAATGTAATCTTTGGCCAGGCAAATACTCTGTAGCTCAATAACTTAAGACCTCAGTACCATTGTTCCTGATCTCACTTTGCATTTTACAATGTTGATCAAGTGAAATGATCAACGAAGCCTCTTCCCAAATCATTTAATGCAATCCAGAGCTATTTTTTCCCCATTGTGAATCGGCTTGCCTTCTTCCTCTTGAAAATCACCACGTAATAACTTTTACACCCGCAGCCTGACCGACCCTGTGCCTCAGAATCCATGTCTTATTGCTGTATTATGAAATTGCATAAGGGTATGTATATGTAAGGATTTTGCAGTATCTCAACTCGAGGTGTAATTATGAGATTGTGTTATCCATGTTTGACAAATAGGACTGGTTACCTCTTCATGCAGTTAGCTGCGATAGCAGGACGTGCACTAGTGCAGATAGCCTGTGGGGAGTGGCTGACTATTGCTTACAGTTTTCTGTGAAAAGATGTCCTGACATCTAGTCAAAACATTAGTTACATCAATGCTTTGTGAATTAAAAAAAAAACAAGCACAGCTTATTGTAACTTTTTAGTGGAGTTTGGAAGTGTGCAAAACGCATTGTTTCAAAACACCTCATTCAAACCGCGTCTGAAAGCACAACACAGCAGGAAGACATTGGGGAAGGTTCATTCCTCACCCTAACAAAACCAAGCAGAAAAGCTCCATGCTTTTTAGGTGGTAGTTCATTGCAGTTCAGAATAGCATGTGGATATAACCCTCAGCTGTGTCTTAACACCTATAATTAACCCCTGCCAATACCACCTGACAAAGTAACCCCATGCAGCACAGGGGGGGGTATGCACAAGCACTGTCGGTTTGGTGCTGCAGTTCTCCAAGGCAGACAGTATGGGATGGAGAGAGAGAGATCTGATGCACCCAGTCCTGTAGGCCAGGGATTCTTCCAGTTGACTGCATCAGTGCATTGTCAGCAGCACAGCCCCTTGCCTGAGGGAATTCCCAGCCCCTGCTAGCCAGTCCGGATGTGAACTTGTCTGCCGTCTGGAAGTCTCCCCCTGCAGAGTGAGTGAAAGTTCGCTCCAAATGGTTGGGCTTGTGTGGTCCGTCAGCCAGCCCTCTTATCTGACTGTAGTTCAGGTGGGGAGCTGCGTCAGCATGTCTAGGTCTCAGAGGAACAAGTAATAGGTTAATGCCATGCTGAAAGGAAACGAAAGAAAACGAAATGTTTCGGCCGTGGAGCCTTCTTCGGGCGTGAGCCTTCCGTTGTTTTCTTCTCTTTTCGGCATGGAATAAACCTATTACTTGTTCCTCTTATCTTACTTGCAATTCTTCCCCTTTTCATTTCAGTCATCATAATTCCTTGACTTTATATACTGTTTTGCATCCTAACACTGTTAAACCAGTCAAATTAAGGGGAATGTTTAGAGAGGCCAGATTATTCAGGCCCAGAGTGGAATTTAGCCAGGACATTGCGGTTATTACCATCTACCCTTAGGAGCAGCGTTTAAGAGCCAACTATTAAGGATCTCAGCTGAATGTCTTGTGCCAAGAGCAGTGTCCTGGGTCACCAAACTGGAACATTAACAGCAAAGAGCTCCACCTACTGGTTCACCAACACCACTTACCGCAGCAACCTGGTCTTCCTTGGAGCTCAGGGGCCTCCCCTTCCAGCCTGGCTGAGCCTCACAGACCTAACGAGACCAGGCTAGAAGCCATGTGCCTTTGTAGACTTTGAAATTCATTCATGGAGCATCTTCAGCCTCAATTAAGCGGTTACAGACACAGGGAGAGGGCAAAGGCTGATAATTAAGTGGGGGACGAGGGGACGAACTTTCCTGTCTCTTTGCAGGAGTGTTAATGAGAAAGGGGAGAGTGTCTGCAAGATCCCTCTAGGTGGTACATCTCCAGGTTTATTTAGGCCTTTTTTTGGAGCTCTGCCTTTTATGCAAATGAATCTGGAGCACCATGTTAAATATGTCATACCAGGAAGTGAGGCTGGCACTGCAGGCACAGCGTCCCTGATATCAGCATCCCTGGCTGTTGAAAGATTTCAAGGTGATTGTCTGACAGAGCCCTCATGTGGAATGGCCTCTCATGACCTCTGGATACTGCATTAGGGCCCTAGGATCGTTGATTTGGTGCATCTGCAGCCCATTGACGAGAGTGAACAACCTTTTCATGTCATTGACACAGACATCCTCTCTCAAGGTAAGTCGCCCAGTCGTAAGAGCACTTGCCTGATGCTGCTGTCATCTGTTAATGAACGACCGTCGTAGACTTTTTTCAATCTATTTCGTGCTGGAAATGGCAAACCAGGCACACTAATATCGTGGAGTGACCGTATCTGTCTAACATGGGCTGTGCCCTGTCATGATCTTCCCAGTATTCGAAAGTGATCATTGAGATCATGTACACAGATCTGTCCCTGTCACATGGGTGAGAAGTGTGCAGGGAAATCTGGGTATGAAACTAAGATAGAGGCATTGCAACCATTACCGAATAGCATTTTTTTTTCCACATTCTGGTGCTAAATGTGTGATTTGCTTATGCTGGCACAACCCTATCAAGGCTAGATTTACATTTGAACAGAAGAATGGAAGGGGTCCGATTTTCAGTGCTGACTTCATACTGCACACAAGCCAACAGGAGCCATTCACCTGCATAGAGTGTCCCCCCATAAGTCCCACATTTTCTGCTTCATATTTTAAACCTCAGGTGATGCACATGCTGCCCAGGCGAGATATCAACTGAATGGAACTGTGTGGTTTAGCCAGAAATGAGCTGAGAAACTTTCCACCATGATCTTCCAAACTGAACCCGTAAGAGCAGGGTTTACCTTTTAAAGAACCCTGATCAAAACGGTTTCAGTTTGGAAGCGTTCAGATGCAAATCTAATCCAAGAATAGCATTTTGAATTTCAAATGATAATGTGCCATTCATTTTATGTTCATCTTTAATTATTCACATACACTAAATTGTAACACCCCGCCCCACGACACACACACACACACACAGAAAGACGCACACAGCTTGCCTTGCTCACCAGTGCAAAAAACAGTGATCTCCATGTGGGTCTTCACAAAGAACAGCCCCAAGCTGAACAACAACTCTCATCCCTGCCCTCGCCCACAAACGCAAAATCCTGCATTACTTCTTAAAAAGCGTACAGATTCCTGCAAGAATCAAGAAAGACTCCTTTTTATTATTCCAAAATCCTATGACAAGGGTTCCTGTAGGAATCCTTGATAACTTGAGACTTTCTATTGGCAGGGATATCGCATCATGATTTCTGTATCACTGGTTCCGAAACCTGGCTTCCTTCAGCCAGGGCTTTTTGCCAGCCATTTAGAAAGCGGAGGATTAAGGTTTTAGACTAAGGGAATCAAGCTTCTTCCAAGTAGAGCATCCAGTAGACATGGCTTTATTGATTTTCTGCAGGGACATAAAAGATCCAAAGGGGAGAAAAGGAAGTACGACTATTGTAGTCAGCAATTAAAATAGTTTTAAGTCTTGATCAATGCAGAGGATAAAAAACGTTTCCCAGTGTTTAATAGTTAATTTCTCTATAGCTTTTAGAGCCGCTTGTTAGAGGTTAACGCTGACTTAAAAGAAATCAATAAAAAAAGTATCGGTAGGGATCTGACTATAGCCCCAGAGCTCTCTTTTCAGGGTTGGGTTTCCAAGCCTAGACTGTCCCCAGATGGGGCTGGGTCAATCTCTTACCCGGGTCAAAGGGAAAGACCCAGGGTTCGATTTGGAAGGTCTGGGATACGGTTTCTTAACAGGAGGGCTTCTCGAGCCCTGGTCCTGAAGGAACCCCACCAGCTGAGCTCTCACTTACACTGCTCGGCTGTTAACTCTCCTAATGTTACGAGCGATTCCAATTCAATTGTTTTCTGTTCCGATACTTGTTGGAGGTCACTACTCTGTTTACCAAAGAGTCTAAGATCTCATTTTTGCATAGAAAGAAAAAAAAACGTGCAAAAGTTCCAATCAGGCAAATTGTTAGGTCCAGTAAGGATGCAGTTCGGTAAAGAGCTGGGGTGGAACTATAATAATAATCACTAATATCGCACTTTTCTGGACACTCCACTCAGTTGACTTTGAGCAAAATTTTAGCAATGAGTTTTTATAACTGTCTTCTCACGTCAGAAAATAATCTTCACGGTTACACAAGTGTCCATGTTGTGGTGTTTACTACGTGAGGGAAAAAAAAACAATACCGTCTTCAAATTATATTGAAAAACCTCGTTGTTTATGACAGCCATTTGTGGAGCACAGGGCAAAGACAACTGCTGTTATTTCTATTGGCCGCCAGAGGGCGCTAGGCCCCCACACTTAAAGACGTGAATTACTCCAGCCGGTGTTCTGATAAGTTGGCACAGTAACTACCTTCTGAAAGTGATGTCATAATTAAAACAACAGCATTATATATATCGCTAATTTCAATACCTCCGTAAATATTAACCACGTATCTCAGCGATAACGCTTGTAAGTACTCAAACAGTGCAAGCAATCCTATGGTGTTGTGTTGACAGTGCGTCCAGGTGCCACTAGATTCATCCCTATTCGATATACAGATTGCAACAAGGGGTTAAAATTAAACTGAACACGGATCCTGAAATAAACCATGCTTTTAAAATTGAGCTAAACCACCTATTTAAAACAATAGAGGCTAGATTGCTGTGCTTCAAAAGCCGTTTACAGGGGTCTCATTCACGCAGGAGTCGAAAATCGCCGTCAGTGATAAAACAGATGTATCTTTTGCTTTGAAATGCAAACAAAACAAGCCAATGTCGATGCCAGTGTGAACATTTACGAACAGATGCCCTTTCTGCTGGTAACCACCTAGCGAACCCCGTGTCTAACCTTGCTAGAATGCGGCTCGGAAGGACGCGCTCTGTGGGGACGGACAGCGGTTGGCAAAAAAGTCACGTATATTTCTGTTTTTTCCCCCCTCGCTCTCTCTCCTCGGCTCCCTCCCTCTCCCTGCCTGTGTTCCTCTCAAGATCATTGGAGCCCAAATTTGATCTTCCCAATGTCATGGACAAAAAAGAGGCTTCCGCGAGCATGAGGAAGAAAGCGGGCGGCGGCCATGGCAACGCAGC